CAGTGAGAAGAAGAAAGCAATCGCCAATGGTTGGGGCACAATGTTGACAAGAAACTTATTGGTAGCCTTTACTTTAGCTAAGACAATCGTATTTTTGATATGATTCGAAGGAATGGGGGCTCAATTATTCACCAGTCACGCAACGTACTCTCCTTGCCGTCATTTAGCTGCTGAATGGATTGATTCCTCAGTAGCTTTACCATTTTGCAATATAGGCAAAGTGACTTTTCCCGAAAAAATGAAGTGAAATTTGTCTATGTTGTTGAGATGGAACTCGTCATCGAACGGTCCGTGTAAGGCGCAATTTCCATATTAAGTTTTCCCCTGAAATACCCTGGAACGTGAGTTTTCGTGAAATTCATGGATGGATTTATGATTATGCAAAGCAGTGTGTATAAGACACTCGCGTCTATTTTTCTGTATGTCTGTGTTCCGTCTGTCACGAAACTCAATTTTACATCAAGAAAAATTTGGAGAGGTCGGGTCAAGTTTGGAATGGGTTTAGTATAGAGTAACTCGAACAGAGCACATGTGTGCCTAGCGGAGCTCCGCCTTCAAGGGCGGGACACGCGCGGCGTTGGACGTGCCATGGGCGAACATTGCTAATTTCGTCTCATACAGTGAANGGAAAAAATCAAAAAAAGTTGAGGGACGGGTCAACAAATGAAACGGAACAGACTCACCGGCGGTTCGAAGACGTTATCCAGTGGGGTCTTGTCACGACTCGATTAAACGGTGGCGTGGAGGCCAGAGAGAATGTAAAAGGGGTGAGCAAGGATTTATGAGCGCTGGGCATGCACAAACTTAGTGAAGCTCCGCTCACGATAGGCGGGGCGTGCGTTTGAGTATAAGCTACTTTTTGAAAAATATATATGTCCTCTCAAAAACGTTAGAGAATGCGGAAAAATAGGTAGTAGAAGAAATGTGGTCCATCCCCCGAAGTGGGCGGATCTGCACCAAGGTGGGCGGGGCTACGATCAAAACCTCACAACTTTTTTAAAAGGAAGAATGGTCGAATTTTCAAAGTGAGCGGAGCTTGCATTGAGTGAGCGGGGCCGACATTGAAATTTCATAACTCTTTTCTATAATGTGATAAAGGGTGGATAGAGACTATAGAAGAAATGTGACATAATCCCCGGAGCTAAGACCAGAGATTCACAACTTTCTTCAATGACCTAGACTGCGGGATAGAGGTGGTTAGATATTACAGAAGGGAAGTTGCCATTTTTTGGAGTGGGCGTAGTTTGCATTGGGCATGACGGGGCTGGAATCAGAGTTTCCAATTCTGTTCAAAAACATGGTAGAACGAGGAGGAAGTGGGTAGAGGTACCTAAAAAGGGTGGTCAAATTTAAAAGGGAGTGGTCTGCACTCATGCGGAGCTTAGCTGTCGTCCAGCACCCATGATTCTGTTCGGAAACGTCCCAGAGTAAAAAATAAGTGCCTATCGCTGATGCCTATCCTTCGATTACAGAAGACAAGTACAAGGAACGAACAGGATGTTCGCGATTATTCAGTATAATCAACGTCATTATCAAGAAAACATGGTGACGTGCACCACTGAAATAGCAAACGCCACGTGACAAATCATTTGGCATCGCACTCAATTTCCAANTACAATGTAGTAATTATTCTTCGTTTTGTGCCACCGACTCTGATATTAATGGGGCACATGGATCGTCTGCTGTCTTCCTGATTGCTCGAGAGAACACCAAAAACGCCTCCATTCGTACCTCTGCCGCGAACCAGTGTAGTCCTGTGGATTCTGTTAGCTCAAGAGAGCCAGGGCAAACTTTTGCTAGCGAGCAGAGCTTCCGTACAGCAGTTTGACTAGCTCCTGATCTTTGTTCGACACCTTAAAAGATTCAAGCTGTAGCAGCCCAGCTCCACCGGTCAGCACAAATCTTAGGCGTGTCCAATCCGTCTGATCTTTGACTCCTTCGCGTAAGCGACACGTTTCCAATCTTGGTTCAGCGACAGAGATCCGAATTCTGGATTCTAATCTTCTCTTGCATGGAATCTCCAAGATCAGACTTTGCCGTTTCCCCAACGCGTTAAGTGAGAGTGCATGCTCATTTGACCAAACAGAGTTCAAGTGTCGAGGTGTAAGTCAAGGCAGCATGGATGGAAGAGCCGAAGAAAGGACGTTGAGCACGATGTTTTTTGTCCTCTTCACACTCTCTCAATTATCTCGAACCCCTCCCATGTTCCTCTTCAACTTTGAAGCTGGGTCGTTGACCGGGTTGACTTTTGAAATAGAGTAGCATACATCGTCTCCGGTGAATTCATTTGCAAGCCGATCTTCCCACATGCGTTGTCGAAGTCAGGCAACATTTGTTCCGTCTGCCGATAACCGATTCATAAGCATTATGTCGTTTGGATGACAGTTTAACTGCTGGCCGTGGGCCTTCATTTCTCTACCCATTTCAAATGCCGCACGACATTTCCAGTTGTGATAGTGGAAAGTTTGGAGAATACTCATTGGCTATTACTTCAGTATTGAATGGTGAGATTGGAACATGAAGTTGTTGCAGAGCCGTCGAATNATCTTTATATGCTAAAGACTACCCTAATCGCACAGGGCTTCGATGCGTCTGTCTCAACTGTGCTAAAGGCTTTGTCGAATCAATGAAAGCGAAAGATAGCATCCTGACTACCGCGACAGTTCATTTGTCAAAAATCCTTAGGCTATCATTTCTAGGCGGACTGGGCTATCGTTGACAAGTGAGGCCGTCTCTTTTTATAAGCAACATTGTGTCTCTCTTTCCACTTGGACTACTTTCATTCCGACAGATACCGCGTAAGTTGTCAAGCCACGGTTCCGACGATTACTTCGAAAGCTTTTTCAGATTTTCTTTTCTCAGAGCTACCAGAGCCAGGAGCTGTTAAATGCTCAAAGGAAGAAGTAAAGAGACAACATGTCCACCCTGCCCCATGTTGTCAGCAAGCAGACGGGTATAGTTACTGAAGAGAAAAAAGAAGAATCTTAGGTGGTCATTTCCACAGTTTGGGGATTGAGAGGGGACTGGTCGGCGAGGACGACGAAGATAAATCGTCCATTTAATCTTATTCGCATCGCTTCGCAAGTTCAGATGTTAAGCTCCTCAGCTAAGAATGAAAGTGAAATAAATACGCACATACAGGAGTAACACTATGCGCTACGACATTCTACAATCGCATTTTCAAAAAATATAAATACAAGCGAGGATAGAAAAAGCTAAAAAACGGTTTGCTCCCGAACTCGTCCCAATTGCACGCATCAAGTGAGTTAGGGAGTGGGAAGCAGGATGGCCATCTTCATTGGAAATGAAGTCGGCCAGCTGGCGTAGGCATCCCTCCCGAACGAGCTTGGCTCTGTAGGCAGGAGTGCCGCCCTGCTCATCATTTTGCTGTTCTTATAACAACTCTTTTTGTGAGAGATTGCTTGTTCGACGTTTGCCAAATTGCGTTTGTTTTATTTGTTAAGGAACATGTTTTTCGTGAAAAATTCGTGCTAGAGAAAACAATGAAGGGCTGCGTGCCTCCACTCAAGTGAGTGAATATCTTTCTGCATTTTTTTGATAGGAAATGGAGCGACATCTCTGCATACGATGAACAATAGAGCTTCAGTTTGACAATCTGTTCAATCGATAAGCTCCATAAGTGATGCTCCTTTCCCGTCTTTTTGAAAGATCACCCACGATCAAAATCCACTTGCAAAGGAACCATTGTAATAGTCCTGTCTTTTGAAGCACCGTCCTTTCTGACAGTTACTGGTTCGTCTCCGATTGAATCTTATTCTCTCGAACGCCGTTGTTTTACCAGGGGTGGTGGATCTCCTCCCCCAAAGGCGTGTTGCTCTCGCCGCACCCGCAGATATGCGATGGAGCGCGCAATGTGTCAGCATGTGTCAGCCAAATTTGCGATGGATGCTTGGATGCTAGTGATTTGTCTCATAAAACATTACTTCTCTCATCAAACCTCCACATCACGAGCACGCTGCACATGAAAGCAAGAAGAGTCAGAAAAAATAACCAAAACAATGTCGAAAAGTAAAGCAGGCAACAAAAAGGAGCCCTATCGATTGGCGAAGAGGCGTACCGAATGCGCATTTGCGCAGTTGAAGTTTGAAGCCGTAAGACAAATAAAATCATTTTCTGCATGAGGCCCAGTGAACATGAGAACTGGGAAGAAGCCTTCAGTGTCCACCAGTGCCTCCCTTTCCCCTTTCCCCTCCCCACTTCTATATATCATTTTTTGCACTGAACATATCTTGAATCACCACATGTTCAACTTCAGCTAAACCAAGTTTTTGATAAAAAGGTCATTGGTAATCTAAATATTGCACTCACCTCTTCGACTCTATCTCTAACAGAGATTACGGCGATATAAAGAGATGAATGGCTGCGCCATTCCTCATGGTATACAGGATGAAATCGAAGGTGACAAATGTCTTCGTCAAGAGCAGGGACGAACTCTCTGCTCACACAAAATTCAAACTGCTTCCGCATGGTTTTCCGTGCTTCCTCAGACCATTCGCAACCGATGATCTTGAAAAAAAAGTTCACATTGTAATGAAACTGCGAAAGGTTTGCAGGAAGAAGTCGCATGTGTGATGCATTCTAGAAGGACGTATAGACGCTTAGTACTATGTCTGTTGCAGTTTCTGGTTTCCAAAGGTACAGCTAGATAAAATACAGTGTTAGCTGTTTAGAACAATTTGCATCCGCTCGAGCAAATGCGCAGTTATTTGAGAGAACAACCATCTGTATCACCTACCGCTGATCGTCGACTTCCTCAGGCAGGCGTCAGTAACGTCTACATTGGGCACTGCGGTGATCTAGAGTGGTGCAGTGGATCGTCCTTGCTTCAGGGACATGACACTCAGCATTGCTTCCGTTCAGAGCTTTTCTGAAGAACTCTGGCCATCGCGTTGCCGGCCGTTCTGGTGTTCATTTGACGTCTCAAGGAATGCAGCCGAGAACCGTCTTGGTCCAACGGCCATCACGATATCCAATAACGTGCCCGGCACACTGTTCGCGACTTGGCGTAAACAACTATCCTTGTCCATCGTTCGTAATTAGGTTTCGGAACTCCGGATCACCTTTTCCCCTTGTGTGCTTCAACAGAGTCCAAGTCTCTGAGGCGTACGTCGAAGCAAAAAGGACACTTCAGAAAAGGTTAGCGCGGAGCTGAATATTCTTTTTCTTCTTCACTACTTCATCGATATTCTACAGGGTGCGCCACAAATATGTAAGCAACTTTTCGGAAGTCCTTATTTCTTTGTTTAAGGGGTTCCTCCAAATCTGCCCCTTCTTTTATGTTTATGATATACCTTAGATCACATATCTACTATGGTGCTCTAAACTCATCAGATTCCGGAAAACGGTGGAGCCTGCAGACATTCGCCAACCGCCCCGTCTTTGCGCGCATTTGGTGCCAAAACCGTCGTCTTGCCTCACGTAAGACCTCTTTTCCGAACACAATAGTTTGGGAAGGAGTGCGCTACGGATTTGCTTGCATGGTCAACTCCGATGAGAAGAGCCTACCCCGTGTAAATACAAGTGTATCCAGATAGGATTCAAGAGCCTTAAACCTCTTGGCGTGAAGGAGTTGGAGAGAAAAAACAAATGCAGCGCGCTACATGCGCACGGCACGCGCTTCGCCACACTTGTTTGATTTAAGGGTGTTCGGCGTGGAAGAAATGTTGAAATCTTAAAGTGCACGTATATTTCACATTACGAGTGCTGAAGCCGCTGAGAAGAGTCAGATCGCCTCTCGTAGCCGTTTTCCCTCTTTCAAGATATTTTGAGCTAGAGTTTCTACCATCAAAGCGATATCGCAAATTTTAGGCAAGAAAAGCACAAAATTTAATCCGAACATCTTTGACAGAGGTTTTTTCTGTAAGGACGGGGCTGAGGTCACGAATGCAGAAATGTCAGGACTGGTGCTGCAGGCATGTTTGCGATTTTATCCCAGTTTTAATCCTCCTACGAATTTCCTGGACCACAATATTATGAGTCGCTGTATATAATCCATAAGGGAGAGGATCCCTGCGCTTCAAAACGCACCACTGTTGTTGCTCCTTAGCGAATAACTCACATGAATTCACCATGTATCAATATGAATTGCGGTTTCTTTTATTACCGTATTTATGGCGCACCCTGTAATGCCCCCACGCGACGTGTTTCCTTCTGCGCAGTCACGGAGCTAGGTCGTTCATGATGGCGGCTTCCAGGACTAGATACACGTACCTAGAGCATTCGAAGCAATTCGTTCCATTCAGCGTAAAGGATGCATCAGGTACCAATACGACCCCATAAACATCTTCGTTGAGTTCAGTTAAAGTTTAATTTGGAGTCTTTGCACAAGCGTTATCGAATTCGGCTGCTCGTTGTTCGGTGTTGTAGATGTCGCACGCAAAGCGGAGGTGAAGAAAGTTGAGGCCGTCGGGACCGGGCGCCGTACAGTTCTTAATCGATGTAATGCCATGTCGAATTTTGAAAGGGAGAGCCGAAGGAGCGATACATCTTGCCTAAGATGGTAGGTGGGCAGGAAAAGCTGACTGTCGAAGAGATCTGAAGAAAATTCGTAGTGAAGTGTTCCGTCAAATTGATCTCGTAACTGGTGAAGCTCCGTCGGGCTTTGCGAATGCTCTTTCCGGTCTCGGCGGCTTCTTCCATGATTGTTACTCGTCGCCCAGTCAAATCTTACTTTACCGTCAAATCTTACTTAGAAAAGAGATGTCCCTAACTTATATGTTGATCCTCTGATTTCCTAGTATATCGCGAAGATGTTCGACGAGCCGGCTCTATTCTTCATCAACGTTATCGATGACGAAATCATCCTAGATACTCGAAAGGGAAGCAAAGTGGTCCTAGTTGGAAAGGATATTATGGCTTCGCTTTCTGAACTTCACAGCTATCTCCACGCACTGGGGAACAGAATCTAGTACCAAGAAGGCGATAGTCCGATCCCGTGTAGAACTCGCTGAATAAGAGCGACGTTAGCCTGACAAATTTCGAATTGAAAAATGTGTTCTATTTCATTATGGAATTGTCCACCGATGACTTCGATGTCCATCGCTAATGAATGAGCTTCAGGAAGGGTGAGTTACCGTAGCTAGTACTCACTCCATTCTGTTCCGTGGGTACCGATATGTAGCTCTTCAGCCGTTCTTCTAGAGCCAATTTTTGTAAGGAATCCCCGACGATGACCTAGGTCCAAATATTACGCTTTTGAATACTGTTTTCATAGCTTGATGTTGCTGCTTAGGCAAAGAAGATTGTTCGAATTGAGGTTGAGCCATATATTCTCAATCGGAAACGTCCGATTCGGGTTGTCAAGCTTTCGTACGAATCGATATTCATGGCCAAATGCGTATTGACGAGGACACCGACGCCCCTACCACCGCTCGTTCCAAGAAACGTTTCTTTCTCAGTCTCGACTACAGCGAGAAGCGGGCGGTGCTTCTGGTCTCGGTCAGTCCGATGACGTCGTGTTTGATCTTTCTAGCTTGCATAATCACATCTTTGACATTCCGATGTAAGCGTCCGTGAGTCGAAGTACAGATCGCCATTACAGCCCTTCTACATTTTGGTTGCCTGCTTTGACCCCCAGACTTTAGTGGCCCCGAGCGGTCCTACCCAACGCCACCGTATATGGCTACCTCAGGTTCAACAGAGTGAGGCCTATTCATATTACTGTTTCTAGCACACGGGTACGGGTACAAAGTAGCTTTTCGGGCTCCAAATGGGGCTGAGTTGACACCGGGTAGCTAGCCAAGCTATCCTAGAGTGGACGAGGGTCTTTGATTTTAGTGGCGGCCCCGAATCGCTTCGTGGATACTTCTGATCACTCCATTGCCAGCTTTTAGCTGAGTCAATATTGGAAGGATACGAACTGTCCACAGGATCTCCACACACGTATGCGTGAATACACCTGCGATATAGAAAAGATATAACGATATCTGCGTCTCCGAGCAAGTACAGGCACTTTTAGTCGACGACTAACTCCACTATTCGCCACCTGGGAACGTCCTCGTCTCGTCGCCAACCGCCTGAAATCCTTCACTGAGGGGAATCCTAAGTGAAGGAGATCCGTAGGATGCGAACAAAGAACATGCTCAAAATCTGCAAAATAATGTAACCGTAGTTATCTTGAAGCCTACACAGACTGAACAGAATAAGCAACATATTGCCGTTGACTGAATGGGAGCGGTAAAGTGAGAACTATGTATGTTTATCGAATAAATGGGAAATTTGAACTGCGAATGCAGGGATCCGTGTACAATAGATTGACACAATGACACCTATTTCAAGGAAGGATGTTCTTTGGAGAGGACCCAAGCGCAATATTGAGGATCACCTTGGTCGCGCTCGAAAATGCTATATCTGTCACTTTGCCTGTCCATTTGGTACCACCTGGAAATGCACATGGAGAGAACGAGGCAGTTTCGGGATACATGCTACCAGAGACTTTCTAGCGTCTGAGAGAGACGGAACAACTAAACAGTTTCATAACGTCCCATAACTTTTTATTACTGCATAATCGCAAAAAGAATGCCCCATGCTCGAATCAAACCAGCGACCTTCTGTTCAGAGTGTCTCATAAACATAACAACTGCTCATGACGAAACAAATAAAGGCATGATTCGGCCATAAGGCAGTTTCGTGACGGGGAAATAAGATTAA